ACACAAAGACAAAATATAGATTCCACGTTCGTGTCTTGTAAAATGACAGGTTCGAACACTGCTTATAACACTGTGGAGAATTTTCTTGTCGCAAAGGTAGAAGATTCGAGAAAATTAAATTCGTAATAGACGTAACTTCAGTAAAATGTTTGAATAACAATAAATGTCTTTCTCTTTTATTATGAGTATTTACCCACTATTAAGTCTGGGTGCGCTCCCACCAATACTTCCAGAAATATTTGACATATTTCAAAAAAAACTTACATTAATTAACAAAATTGAGAGAGAGGAAGGACGGGATGGAAAAAACACGTCAGATTGGATATATTATTTAATCTACAAGAGCTCAGGAACCCATTTTCTTTGCTGTTGTGATACGAAAAGCTGTAGTACTTCATGAATGGACACTAAAAATGTTAAAAATTAATTATTGTGCTAACACTCACAAATTTTTGGACGTTTTCCTTTCTAGTTTTCCAACAAATTGTCTTATTAAACAGTCATGGATAGTATTCCAACTCACATATTTGCAACTAAGAGATGTTTTTTTAAATAAAGGGATGTATAGGAATGACCCCATCACAAAACAAGTCCAACGGATGGCTAAAAACTGTAGACTCCTGAGAAATGTTATAGAATTTTTATAAATTCAAAACACAATCAATTATTAGCCGAAATTAAATTGGCTTATCATTCTTTCTACTGTTTTAATTTCGTTTCTTATTCCTTAAATGTTGGACGACAGCAAAACGTGCACTGACAACTCAGTCGATAAAAGTATACACTTCCATTTACTAAAACGTCTGTTATATTTCTTAAACTTGCTAGACAAAAATTCCCTACTACAACTGTACACGCAAGGTAATAATAAGTCCACATATCATTTGTGCTCTTCATTAATTCCTTTAAGAAGAAAGAATAAAAGAGTAACAAAAATCCCTTCCAAAGGAAACGGCCAAAATTAACGCGTTCAAAACTTTAAATCTTTACTCCTGGAGATCAGAAGGATCTTCTGGGAGGCTATTTCCGGAGGCCTGGTGCGGATTCGCGCCTCCCGTATCTCAGTGCCGTATCATCCTGAGGCGCATTTCCTGTCGCCGGCTTTGGCGAGGAACACACGTGGACGTGACAGTCGCCTTTCACGCGGCAGCGCCTTAATTTAGCTCGCCACGCGGATATCAACGTCTGCAGCCCAGCGACAGCTGGGATGTCGTGGTTTTGCCAGGTGGTTGTAAAAAATAACGGCGTTGGTAGAAATGGTGAAAGACGTAATGGGGGCGGTGGCCGTTTTAATGGTTGTGGTGGTGTGTTAAAAAAAATGGATAACTATGCTGTGAATAAAAGACGCTGTAATGTTTGATGGACTTTTCCTAGGACCGAATTGAACGGACGGACTGTGGTGGGATTGTGGTGAAAGAGTGATGGGACGGTGATGAGACATGATGGGATGATGATAACACGGAGATCGGACAACGACAGGAGTGGTAATGACAGTCCCATAAAAAGAAAACAGTAAATCAGTTAAGCATACATGTATTGGTTCATTCGGCATTTATACTACACAGGTGTTGACACAAGGCATTACGTTACAAAAATGACCATTATTATATTATTGTAAATATCAATATGATATTTTTAATATAATAGTTTTACGTAAAATGGTTTGTGCAATGTAAGGATTTCGATATATTTGAGTTTCAATATTCAGTGTTTTTAAAATGCAAAGATAGGCGAGTGTACATACACGTAACGTTCAGCAATTGTTTGACATATGTGTCCCTTCAAAAACAATATTTATATAAATGCATCATGTTTTTAAGTTATCAAGATGAATGTTAGATGAAAGGTTATCAAATCAAAGTTATTAAGTTAACAAAATCACAACTAGATATAAAATAAAAGCTGCTAATCTAGATTACAGTAACCATGATGCACAAATTCTTACATTTACTACTAACATGAACACTGACACCAATTATACACGCATGTGCAGAGCATTCACTAAAGTTAACACAAAATTATTTACGGACTACTTGCTGAAGGAATCATGGAACACAGTTTATAACGCTGTTGACAAAATATAATATATTTTTCTCAAAACTTTCATTTCACTTTAACGCATGCTTTCCTCGCAAAAAGAGAAAGAGATCCTTGATAGTAAGATATTCTCCTATAGACGTGTTTTTAACTATGTTTACAGTAAATTGTATTGTTCCAGAATTTTAAAACATTCATCTAATGTCTTGGGGAGTATGTACTGAACGGCATGAAAAAATGTTTCGATGTTTTCAATTTTCCGTTGAGTGCGTATGTTGTACGTTTGTGTTGTTTTTTACAGTCCTTCGTTTGTGAGATGTGATCGGAGGGGTGCAGCTACTGTAAGGCGATATAAAGAGGATAGTAATATTGAATGTGCGGGGGCGAGAGGTGTTTGTGTGGATAGGCGCGCAATGAAGATGCCACGAGGGGACGCGATGAGTCGCGACGCAACAGACGGTTGGAGGCGGTAAACTGCGCTGGTGGCAGGAAAGTGATCAATCTCACGTCACTGAGACTTTCCGAGTTGAAGATTAATTTCTGTAAAAATTTATTTTTACCTCGGATAAATTTGAAAGCGTTTCGCCACAGTGTTAAACTGAAACTGGTTGCGAAGGCGACTCAGTAAGAAAACTTAAATTTCTAATACAAAAAAGTGTTTTATATCAGATCTGATTGCACCAGAAGTATTATGGAAAGCGTACTATTATATCAAATACGTCTTGAAGTTCTGCCGGAATTATTCGTCTTAACTGCCGAAATACAAGTATTGGCTAATGGAAAGGTGACGTCCACAAAATGTAGTGTGAACAACACTAATAGTACTAGTAGTAGGTTCGTACTATATTTTTTCTCGCGACCCTCTCGCCCTTCTTTGAAGATATCTTCGGCATCACAGAAACAAACGTATGTCAGTGTGCGAGCCTTTCTCAAAAGAGAGAGAATTCAGGAAGATGTGTGAGGCATCAGAACCAAAAGGTCGAAGTTACACTACTATTATGTAAAACAATTTCTTCTCTTTTGAAAATACTATTATGTTGTACTGTATTAAATACTCTATTCCAATATTTTGTGTTATATCTTCTATAATTTGGATTTAATCTGCATTGTAACCTGTATTCATTTAGTGAAGTTGTTGTGAGACACTGGAGGAAATTGAACGCAAGTAGCGAAGTCTACTGGAGAAGGACAGAAATCGTCCTAAATGAAAAGCAAGGGTGAATAACGGAGTTAAAATGCGTCAAAGAAAGGGAAAGTCATCAATGAAATTACATGATAAACGAGTAAATGTGTAATGGAATGCGTATAAACGTTCGGAAAACTCTCCAGATCAATATTAGAAGAGGGAATGGTGAGATCCCGTAAGGTAATAGGGAAAAGTAAAATAAAGTAAAGACAAAAGGTCGTTTTATCAGGGGAAAGAGGAAAGGACAAATGAGAGACAGGCAGGAATTAGGAACCCAGAGACCCTGGGAGCGCGCAGGAGGCGGGCCTGGGCAGTGCGAGCGGTTCCGGCGGGGGGGGAGGGGGGCAGGGGCAGGAGAGCCTGCATTTGAGTAACAAGCGCTGTGCCGACGCAGATAACCCCCGGCGCGGCCCGATCCCTGACCCGCCGCACGGCGCCGCGCGCCTCTATTGTGCGTTGCAGGCGCCGATCACGCGGCCCCCTCCACCGCTTAGCCACTCCGTGCTGTCGTTCCGAGCTCGCCCGCCACTTCCGCAACACATCCCATCTTCCGACTCAAGCGACGGACGCCCCGCGCCGCGCCGCCCGGAATGTGCAACACAGCCAAATCTAATCGGCGGGCGTGTGGGCACTGAGCGGGCGAACGCGCGGGCGAACGCGCCGGATGCGAACGCGCGGGCGAACCGCGGTGCGACCGTCGTGCGACCGCGACGCGAACGCGCGCGCGAACGCGACTGCGGGCGAACGCGCGGGCGCAACGCGCGGGCGAACCGCCGGACGTCGTGCGCGACGCGCCGGGCGATACCGCGGCGGAACGCTGCGGGGAACCGGCGGCGAACGCGCGGATGCCGAAAGCAAAGCCGTTGTGCGAACGCTGCGGGGCACGAACGAGCGGCGTGGCGAACGCGCGGGCGAACGCGCTTGTGCGAAACCGCTGGCGGACGCGCGGCGAACGCGCGGGCCGAACGCGCGGGGAACGCGCGGCGACGTCACGCGCGCGAACCGCCGGTAGGCGAACGCGCGGGAATCGCGACCTGGCGTTAACACCGCAGTGTACGGATACCGCGTAGCGAAACGCGCGGGCGAACGCGCGGAGCGAACGCCTGGGCCGAACGTACGCGGGCGAAACGCCGTGGCGAACGCGCGGCGAACCGCCGGGCGAACGCGCGGCGAAGCGCGAGCGACGGGCGGCGAACGCGCGGCGTGCGGCGAAGGCGGGCGACGGCGGGCCGAACGGCGGCGAAACGGCGCGCAACGGGCGGGCGAACGGCGCGTGCGAACGGCGGCCGAACGGCGTATGTGCAACGGCGCAGAACGCGAACGGCGGCGCGAACGGCGGCGAACGGCGCGAGCGAACGGTGCGAGCAACGGCGGCGAACGCGAGCGAACGGCGCGCGAACGGCGGCTGTGCGGATCGTCTGGCGTGGTGCGTGGATACGGGCAGGTGGATGGATGGACGGACCAGGGGACGGGCGTACGGGCGAGCACTGCCAAAACATTCTTTATTTCATTTATGTATTAATAAAGCCAAGATCTAAATTATTTTATGTTTATTAGGATGATTATTTATATTTTCGAAACGAAGTGGTTTATTTTCGTTTTGTATTCAGCATTACCATTTTCATTTCAGCCAATAAGAACCACATTAAATCGGTTTGTTGGAAGCGTCAATATATTTGTATTATCAAACGAATTATCTTATTCGTATAAACAATCTTATTATACATAAAAATTGGTGGATGAGAGTAATATTTTCACTTGTAAATTGTGCCAAATATTATATCAAACCAAATATTTCGTTTTCCAATTCTTTCCCCACTTTGTGAAAGTTTTGATTTTGTTTGTCGAAGTTAATAAAGCTGACTCTGACAAACTTGGTATTTATACACATAAATAAAAATATTCGCACGTTCAATAACGATAGAAAGAGTTTTTCAACACCAGTTTACTTTTCAGCGGAAGCCTAATCAATTTCCATGCGGCAGCTGGTTGAAATCTGTCATCTACGTATTTGGAAGTGACTAAAATTTAATGATCCGTTATCAACTCGCTCATTGGAATATGTATGAATGTAAAAGCTATTAGTTCCACATATTTAGCACGTTCTGGATACGAGCATACACAAATGTTTGTTATGTTTGCATCTCGGATTAAGTTTCCGAATTTTCATATCAATCCGTCATAATCGTGCACATGCTATCACCACCACCCTTGATGATGAAGCAGCAATTTCAAATTAAATGAAAACAACCTATACCTAATAGTGGATATTTTGTTTATTCTTCAAGAAAATTGGTCTGACTAAATAAATAAATAAATAAATGATGAACTGATGGATGAATCATGAAGAATTATTGGAGGAAATTCAAAACCTGTAATGCAACTACCACATTAAACGTGCTACTCGTGTGTCTCTTAAGAGAATTAAAGAACAAACTAAAGATGTTCCTTAGTTTAAACAGTCTTCTAAAACCCGTATAATTCTTGGTAGCTCTGTTAAATTTTTTGAAGAGTTACACAAGAAAATGCAGTGTTACACTAACGTTTATCGATAATTCTTTGTATGTCATCACATTCTTATTTTAACGTCCTTTTTAATCATTGTTGAGCAGTTTGAAATGTCTTACTACTGCAGACAGTGTGATCTATTGCTCAGACGTGAATTTAATTACACTCTTTGGCAATGCCGTTCCTTGTGTAAGAACGGACCACAGTGGACCACTTTCGTAATGACACCAAGTAACAAAGATAATTATTTCTGGGGCATTTGGCGCCAGAGATTATCTCAGAGTCAGTTTTCTGCTATCTCTGCAACGATTCTCACCGGTTCTGCGTTTTGACTTTCGATGGAGGTAGATATTCCACGCTAGTTACCTATTTTAGTCGAGCTGCTTTGATCGGTAGTTTTTCGTTTCTGATCGGTTCCGATCAGTATTGGCGAATGTCTAAGCAGATCCATCACAAAACGGGCCTTGGAATGCGCACGATATTTTCTTCCTCTCCCTTGACCTATTCTTTCGCCTTAAATACTCACATACACTTACATTCACCGCATTACCACATATGTCGGAAAACTAGTCGGCGGAATAGAGCTTGTCCCGGCTGGGGCGGTGCTCCGCTGGTGGGAGATACCTGGAGGAGAAAATACACCGGAACTAACACGTAGTTCGGCACCGGATCACAAAATCCAGCGGGGGTGGAACACTATCATCGCCAGGTGTAAAAAACCATTCACTGAACTAACGACGCCAGTTTGGCTAACGGGCAGGGACATGACCCGAAACATCAATCGATTAATCAATTACAAAGTTTCGAATTTTTTCGTTTACGCCTTTTCTTCGGCGCAAAATGGGACAACGTGGTTAACTTCCGATTGGAGGCATACAAAAATGTGTACCCTTTTACAAATGCACGACTTCGAACATGTGGTATCGCATATAAAATTGTCCAAGCCGAACCGCGAGTTTCGACAACGAACGAAGAGAGCGACTGGAAGCGGCGGAGAACAACGATGGCGACGACGAGGGGCGATGTGGGGCGATGGAAGGCGACGGGTGCAACGCGGATCAACGGTAGTGACAGGGAGATCGTCGGGAGTTACAGGGGGCGACAGGGAGGCCATAGGTGAGGAACGACAGGGCCGACGGAGCATCCGCGGCGACGGAACGACGGAGGGCGACGGAACGACGGAGGGCGACGGAACGACGGAGGGCGACGGAACGACGGGGGCGACGGAACGACGAGGGGCCAAGGAACGACAAGGGGCCAAGGAACGACAGGGGCCAAGGAACGACAGGAGCCAAGGAACGACAGGAGCCAAGGAACGACAGGAGCCAAGGAACGACAGGGGCAATGGAACGACAGGGCCGACGGAACGACAGAGACAAGAGTTGACCACGAGTGGTAATGGGAGAAGACGACGGGGGCGACGGGGTCCCACAATGTGTTTGGGAGCGACAGGCTGTGACATGGGCGTCAGGGTGACGGGGAGCGGAGAATATCGACGAAGGACGACGAGGGGCCACGGGGAACAACATTTGGCGACGACGACGACGGTGGGCGCCGAAGAGCGTCGTGGGGCGAGCTGGGACCACGAAACCCCGGTGGAGTGGTGTGGGCTGCGGGGGCGACGAGCCAGTGTGCCGGAGAACAGATGCAGCCCAGAGGCCCTCTACGACGTTTTTAGTCGGGGCGCGCCGCCTGATAAGGCAACGCTCCGGAGGCGCGCTGATAAGACGGACGCGCGCCGCCCCCGCATGCGTAAAACAGGAAACTGCCTGCGCGCGTACAGTCAGGTGCGGCGTGCCCCGCCCTCTGGCTTCGCGCCCTCGCTCTTGCTCTCTTCAGGGCGTGCTGGCAAACGCGTCGCTACAGGAATTCTCACATCGGCGCTCTTTTTTTTCAGGAAACTGATAAAAATATTTTCCGAATGACAACAGTCATTAACTCTTTTTTCATTAATTATTTAGATCGCAGGTGAAGTAGATACCTTCTAATAATTCAATATGGAAAATGAAAGGTGTTGTCTGGTATCAAACATGTATTGTGCTAATGATCGTTTCAATCGTAGAGATCATCCGCAGAGCTTGCAGCTTCCGGGCCGAAAACAAAGTTCTGCAGAAGCTCTGAGGAAGTTGCAAGCTCCGAGGAGGATCGCTACGCAATCGAATTTTTTTTTCATGATGCCAACATTTATTACATTATAATTACAGATTGGAATGAAGTGGAAATTACTAAGAATCTCCAATTTTTCAAAGATAACCAGTTAAACTAAGGAATATTAATAACAAAATCTAATTAAATCATTGACTTTCAAAGACGCGTATATTTTCATTTATGTCCAACATATTCCACAACTGGATATTTTCACTTCATGCCTTGTCCTTTTTTCTGTTGCAAGAGCCGCGACGCTGATACTTTCTTTTGAACGAATACTCTCAAAAGAACTTCAAAAAAATATCATTAGCTTAAAATAGAAAGCAGATAACAAAAATGATATATTCAGCTCAACAATTCGTCAAATGGTACATATAAACACGAAGCTGGAGTTCATAGGCGTGTAGTTTTTGGTAAATAATTTTCTAGTTTAACTATGTTTCTATGTTTTATTCTTTTCTAGCAAACAAACAGTATAATTTGTTTTGGCACTAAATGTGAAGCGAACTATTTTCACTTTTTATTTCGAGAAAATGTTTAAATAATTTTTGAAAGGAGTGATTGACAATTTGTGGTTTAGTAAAATTATAAGTTCTTCATATCTTTTTACAATCAAATTATTTTCATTTTTTATTTAACAAATTGTATACTTCATGGCGTTTTGAAGCGTGGTTAGCCATATCATCAAATAGATTACAAATGCAATGTTTTATATTTTAGCGTAGGACGTTAGATTTTACATCATGGACTGTGGTAATCTACAAAATATGAACTAAAACGAACATAATTAGTTAATTAATGTCTTTAAAACATTGTGTGCCATTTGAGTAGATTTTAGATTATGAAATTTCATTATAATTTATATTTAATATATCACCGCAGTTTATGATGTAAAATTTAGTGTCTAATGCTACAACATAATTTAACTTAATTTCATAATTTAAGTGAGTCTCTTGTATCTCTTTTCATTCCCAAATTCGTGACACTATTATTCGTGACACAATTATCACTAAGAGGATATAAAATATAATATGACTACTATTAATATATAATATCTCTGAGACTTTGCAAGACAGAGCAAGACAGAAGAATTCAAGATACAAAACAGAAAGAATGTAGCCTTTGTCTATGCCAAACTCACGGAAAAGTCCTTTACTTATCCGTCATCATGATGTTCGAATTCAAAATAGTTAAACGCCCTAGAACATAACTAAAAAGGAAATATTAGTTTACACGAAAATATAACAAACGCCATTTTAAAAAACAATGTCATTGATGGAGGATAAATACGTTTCTCTGTACTAATACATTTCACCAATCACCCAAAGAAGACCAAGATCCTACACTTTATCCTCCTAGATTTAAAGTCACAAAATCTCAGGCAGACCTCAGAAAGCAATTACTGCTTACCCAAATTTTTTGCGCTTCATTTTTAGTAGCGCTTAAAATTGCGTATTTTGTTGTTTCTTTTAGTACGCGCACTTTCACTAATTGGGTGAAGGCCAAAGTGACGTAGCTAATTTTCTGCGTGTTGCTTCTGAAACTTCTTGCAGATTTCAAGCGTGCCACACTTCCATCAAACACAAAAACATCCAACGTTCCTTGAAGAATCAGAAGGAAAACAAACGACTAGCCCGGAAAGTTTCGCTCACTTTCATCAAGACTGTACCGAAGTAAGGCTGAAAGACAAGCCGCCAGAGAGTTTCACGGGCAAGCGCTCGTCGTATAAAGATACGGAACGTAATACTCGCAAAGATACGATAGCCATACCTAAGTAACGTCTTACCTTAGTCGACGCTAAACAATGGAAAGCACCTAAAACAAGTTTTTACAGGCGAACTAGAAACTGCAATACCTCTCTCACACGTTCCAGGTTTTACTAGTCACACCTCGCGAGATACAACTCGGCAAGGTGCGAGAATGTGGAACACGCGACGAAAGCGTTTTCGCTAATGAATTTCGGCGCGTTTGCATAAAACGTCGATAGGAGCGCGTCGTTCGCGACGGCAAGTGCTCGTTAGATGCGGTGGTGGCGGAGATGGCGCGCGCGGTGCCGTTAAAGAAGTTTGAAGCTTTCGCGGAACTCACAGATGAGTACAGCGGAGAAGGCGGTGGTTTAATCACTGTCAGAGCAATGACTGCGACAGCAATCGCACTGCCGGCGACGGGCGCGCCGCCCTGCGGAAGACGCACGAGGTAGTCCGTGCTGAGCGGGCGACGACAATCGTCAGACGGGATGAGCTCGAGTCCGGGCACCAGCGACTTACCTGGAACCACAAGAGAGTCAACTTTCAGACATGATGAGGCCCCCGAAAGCATGAAAATGGAAGACAAAAAAGGAGAAAAAGCAAAAATATTTTGTCAAGGAACCAGAAGATTCTTTAGGAACGGAAAGGAATATAAACGGAATTAAAATACAAACACAAATTTACGTAACTGAATAATCCAGTCAAAGCAAAAAACAAAAATGAATGAAAAAAGACTTGGAAAAACTCAATCAAACATGGAAAAAATTAAAGGAAATTGGTGAAAAACTACGAGAGAAATAATGTAGATCGTAAAGTAACACGTATAAGTTATTTAGATCTGTAATTACAATACAATTCAAAGGAAAAATAATTGAGTTAAGATTCATCGGCAAATTAAACTTGATAAAAGCTGCATTCTTCTCAACAGTTTCAATCTGTTCAATCTGTTCAATCTGTTCAATCTGTTCAATCTGTTCAATCTGTTCAATCTGTTC